TGTGTATTCCTGTCCATTCTTTAATATTCCTTAACCAGGACAATTGTTTGCGGCCGGCTCCTCTCCTACCTTCGATCTTCCCTTGTAGGATTAACTGTGGTATTTCATATTTTGCTCCTCTCAATATGTGCCCAAGGTAACCAATCTTGCGTTTTTTAATTAATTCAAAAAGTTCTCTTTCCACGCCGGCTCTATTAAGGACGTCATCGTTTCGAACTCTATCCACCCAAGGTATGCGCATCATTCTTCTCAATGACCACATTTCAAATGCTTCGAGTTTGTTGATAGATGTGTTTTTCAAAGTCCACGTTTCCATGCCATAAAGCAAGATAGACCATATGTAGCACTTGACCATTCTGTAGCGTATTTCGAAGTTTAGGTGTTGATTACATAGGAGCGGTCTGAATTTCACAAAAGCTTGTTTTGCCATTTGTATTCGGGTTTTTATCTCGTGTTGTGGATCCGATTGGTCATTGATTGTGGTGCCAAGGTATTTAAAAGTTTTCACGCGATTTATACGATTGTCACCTATGCATAATATCGGGTTTTCTGGAGGGTTTCTGCTAATGACCATATATTTCGTTTTCAAAATGTTGATTTTGAGGCCATATTTTTTACCTATGCTATTCACCCTATCAAGTAATAACTGCTGATCTTCCAAATTATCAGTTATAATCACTGTGTCGTCCGCATAGCGTAGGTTGCTAATTGGTATGCCGTTCACCTTAATGCCTAATTCCGTATCTTCTAATGCTTCTGCAAATATATTTTCAACATATAAATTAAAAAGCATCGGAGAGAGTATGCAGCCTTGGCGGACACCTTTCCGGATTTCAAATTCATCCGTATATTGGTCTTGATCAATCCTCACCTTTGCCATTTGGTTCCAGTATAGATTCTGAATAATTCTGATCTCCTTCTGGTCAATGTTGGCCCTATGTAGTAGTTCCATCATGATATCATGTTTAACATTGTCAAATGCCTTCTCGTAGTCGATGAAGGTGAGGTAGACATCTTTTCGTTGATCTAAGCAGTTTTGTATTAAGGTGTTCAAACATAAAATTGCCTCTCTTGTTCCTAGTCCTCCCTTAAAACCGAATTGTGTTGACCCGCTAAGTTCTTCTAGTATCTTATACATTCTTGAGTGTAATATCCTAAGGAAGAGTTTCAACAAGTGACTCATTAAACTGATTAAGCGGTGTTCATTGCATTTTGTGGCATTAGCTGTTTTTGGGATCATCACAAAGGATGACTGCAGCCATTCTCGCGGAATGTAACCAGTATCATAAATTCTATTGAACAGCCTTACCAAGATTTCGATATTCTCCTCGTCTAGTAGTTTTATTGCTTCTATATTAATTTCATCTGGACCTGTTGCTTTATGCATCTTTGTGTCCAGATATCTGGAACAGGCATTAATTAGCGGCAGTTTCTCTAACCCCTTTCTGACAATCACCTAGGTCCGGGGGACTTCCGTTGATATACTGTAGATCACTTCTCCGTTTAACCCTAATCCTTTAAACTTCCTTTGGTTTACCCAAGGCTCTTGTACAAGGGCAATATTAAACGTCCTCTCAAGCGCTACCAGAACTGCTGAAGCTGCCTTGCAGTGTTGAAGGTTAATCTGAACCACCCTTAGGCCTAGCCTTCTTGGCTTTCAGATCTCTGAAGGTTATCCTATTAAGTCCATAGTAAGCTTTGTATTTGTTCTTCAGATTTCTGCAGGGTTTTTCATCTATAGAAATGGCCTGGAGCTGGCCCCCTTCTCTATTTTTCTGCTTAGCAGAGACCAGTTCTGTTCGGATTCAGATGCTGAAGGCGCGTCCTAATCATCTGTGTATTTATTGATTTTGGCTCGGGGATGAAGACCAGGACTCTGGTTCTCACCGGAAGGTCCTTGAATTCAACCACTGTCAAACTTGAGGAACAATGCTGCTACCCGAATGGTATCATAAAGTACTTCCAGCTGTTTACTTCGTACCAAGTCTGCTTGTTCTTGGCTTAATGTTTTGCTTCTTACACTTAAATATTCGAGAGTTTTTTATAAACGTTTGAATTGCATCTCAAAATCTTCGAAGAAAAACACTTTAGTGTCTCTTAATGCGACATTGTCTTTTTCTTAATTTGTTTTCTCTGTTTCGCCCAAAGTAATTTTAAAATAATTACTGAGTTTTCAATCAATATAGACCAAAGATTGTCTGATCATTGTCAATAAAAAATAAAACTGACGATTTAATTATTAATGTAATTGGATATAATGGCACTTTTCTTGCCAGAATTTTATTTTTGATTTTATTTGCCAGAAATGTCTGGCATTGTGTTAAAAATAGTATAAAGTAAATAAAATAGTCTGTTTCCTCTTGCAATTTTTGTTCGCCTTTCCTTTGGATTATTGACACCAGTATCGATCCATTTTTTGTTTTATCATTTATTCTCTTTTTTTCCTTTTACAGTCTACATAAAATTAGATTATAAGAGTATGTTTGTCCACTTATATTATTAAATAAAAAAGCAACAATTTTTAACCAACAATTTAAGATAAATTATCCATCCCTCCTACTTCACTTTATTGTCATAAATATAAATTGGAGTAAACACATTAAAATAATTTACCAATATGCGTTTACTGTCAAAGCCATCATCAAGCCAAAAAAATTGCCACAGCTGTTTTCGTTACGTATAGGTTGATCCATTAAGTAATTTGTTAAATACCGATTGTTTTTGTGCGGTTACCATCAAAACTAGTGATGGTATCAAGCCAAAACAAAGTCTCACAGTTGTTTTTGTTACGTATAGGTTGATTCACCAATTAATTTGTTATATTCCGATCGTTTTTTAGGTAGTTCATGCTTATACGCCTATAGAATCTGATGAATTAGATTTGCGAATTGGAGATTACGTTTACGTAAGTTCTGAAGCTGTTGCCAGTTCTCCAGACGGTTGGGTCGAGGGCACTTCGTGGTTGACGGGTCAATCGGGTCTTCTACCTGAATCTTACACGGAAAGAACTGCCGAATCGGACGCTTGGACGCTTCATAAAAAGGTAGGTAAGGTTTTATTCAAAAGTTTTCAAAATTGTAATATAATTATATTAAATTTGTTTTTGTGACAAATGTGACAGTGAGTGATCAAATTATTACGGCCACCCTGTAAAATTTGGCTTTTTGTTTAGAAATGGTATGTACTTGAGCTATTGACCCCTTCATATGTTAAGGTAATTCAAATGTTAAAAAGAAAATCAGTAATTAGTAATTACATAAAAACTATGCATTTCTGGCAGTTTTGTTGAATTATTTCACTCCTGTGTCATATTTGTATTCAACACTTGATCAGCCGACGCTTTGTGATAATAATTTAATTTTATATTTCTTTCTTCATCAGCTTTTAAAGATTTTCGATTGGATTCAAGTTTGGCGAATTGCTAGGCCAATCTAACACTTATAGCGAGGAATTTTGTAACAGTTTTTGACTGATAACAAGGCACTCAGTCATGCATAAACGTTCTTATTCGGGAAGCACTCCTGGACCTGGGGAAGCATTTTTATTTGCAGTACTTTCAAGTACTGATCATGTCGCATTGTTCCTTCAACAATGTACACTCTACCAGTTCCTTGACTGCTTATGATAGGCCACACCACGACATTCTGGGGCTGTTTTACCGTCCTACAATGTATATCTTTTTGTATTTTAGCTGAATTCACAAATTAAGCTCTTTCCATGAGGATCTACGTAGTAGATTCGTCCGAAAAACAAAACTGGAATATTATTACTTTAGAATCCTGGACAAATTGATCAATTTTAAACTACAAAAAAGAAAAACAATATTAAGTCATATTATTTACCTACTTCCAATTATTAATGGTCCACTATTTGTCTTCTCTAGCGCATTGAAACTTTTTTTCTTCATGGTTAGCGTAAGTAGCGGTTTTTTGCAGGGTGACAGGTTGAAAACTACAGATCCTGCATCATTTTTGTAGGTAATATCGCGAATTTTTCTTTCGTTCCATGGTGTTGAAATTTTTTTTCTACCACATTTTTGTTTGCGCCATATGTTTAAGTCTAAATTCTCATAGTTACCCACAAATTGATGCCATATTTTTATTGGAATGATTAGTGTTCAATAATACAGTTTTATTTCTGTTTTTTTTTACTTGGTGAAATGTTTTTTCGCGTTATCGCGTTACCCAGGGTGAGAAAGTTGCAGTTGTTTGGAAAGCACTCCTGGACCTGAGGAAGCATTTTTGTTTGCAGTACTCTCAAGTACTGGTTATATCGCATTGGTCCTTCGACAATGTACAGTCCACATGTCTTACAATGTAATTGTTTGAACGTGTTACAATACAAAACTTTTGCATTTTAGCTGAATTCACAAATTCATCTCTATTCATGAGAATCTGCACAGCAGATTCTTCCTCAAAAAAAAACTGGAATATTATTACTTAAGAATCCTGGACAAATTGATCAATTTTAAACTACAAAAAAAAATGTTAAGCGCTGTTATAAAGTATCGGTTGTATGCGCGACCTGCATCATTTTCTTAGGCAATATCGCGAATTTTTCTTTCATCCCATGGTGTTGTAATTTTTTTTCTATATTTTTGTTTAGGCCGTAGGGCCAAAAAAGAACTAACCTAACCTTTATAAAGGAAAATTGTGGATTTCGATGAGATGAAAGTAGTGGTGCTTTTTAAAACTTGAACATAGCTCTGAGGATGGCTTTGCAAGTCGAAAGCGCTCAGCTAGTAAATATATATTTTTACACATTGTTATTGAAGCAACAGAAAAAATTATAACTCCAAAGTTTCGAGAACGATTTTGGAATTGGAAATGGAAACATCAAGTTTTTAATCAAGTTTTTAATTTAATCAAGTATTTTAAATTAAAGTTGTGGTTCATTATTATTAAAAGTAGTTTTGGTCAATATGAAAATGTCTTTTTCAGATAGCCCTTAACCAACTCGAATCTTCTGACGAGAAGCGGAACAACCAGAAAAAGGACAATATGATAGAGGAACCCTCTGCCTTATTATCGGAAGTTGTAAAACCTCCGGTACCGCCAAAAATTAACGACGGAGACTACGGAGACGAAGGAAATTTATACGAAAATTTATTAGAATTAAAGAAAATGTCTGCTAATGACGCAGAGGTAAATATTTAGTATTAAATATATAATTAATAGTATGGTGCTTCCCTATATCTTCTACTATGTGTACTCGATAGCGACAAAAAAATTAGTTAACCCTGTATTGCATGAATTTTAACTATGGACACTAAAAATCATTTCTTATTTTGACATAGCTTGAATGCTAAATTTAAAAATTCGTCTAAATAATTTTTAAGTTGTCCCCCTTTTTGGAAAATAAGGAATGTGTACTGTAGGCAATATTATGTAATAAAACTACATATAATATATTAAAAATTTACCATGTGAAACCTTTATTAAACCTTACCAACGGCGCGGCGTTCACAAATCCAAACTAATTGCACTCAATTTGTTCTTCGCATTTCCAGTAAATTCTTTTGTGAATGACTTTTAAAAACATTTTCAGCAGATAGGTCATTAGGCTTATGGTCCTATAGTCAGTCTTCACAAAATTTTGCTCCTGGTTTTTTGGCCAATGGTACGAACTTCGATTGGAGCCACTCTACTGGTATTTTTCCTGCCTTTTATGTTACATTAAATCACATTCACAAATAACATTCAGTTATTATTTTTTATTTGTTATGCATCTAATAGCTTCAGCAATTCTGTCTTAGTTCTTAATTTGTCTGACAGATCTTCCACTTCATCTTCAGATGTCTCATTAGAAACAATGACATCCCCCTCATCTTGAGCGTTTCTCTAAAAAATATTGATATTATAAATGTTACTCGCCAGAAAAGTATAATAAGTATATACTTACAGATACATTTCTATTGTCAGAACTTATCTTCATCTAACTCACTGTCGTCAGAATCATCTGGCACTGATATTATAATAATATTTTCATTTCTACTGCCTCCATTTCCGTAAACACTATTTACACTAACCTGAGGTTGTAACGAAAATATTTTGCCTACCACATGGGGTATTACTATAAGGGGTAGAAAATTGAGGACAGAATTTATTGGGGCGGAGATAGCACAAGCAAAATAATCGATACTTATGCGAACGGCACTTAGGGTTTGTTTGGAGAGCTGGGGTCGTGGTTAAGTAAATGGTAAGGGGGTTGAATTGGGGTAACTACAAAAAAATAAAAACAAAGGGATTACTTATATGACTCTCTTGGAACAAACAAAACAAAAGGAAACACCTCTAGCAACAACTAGTTGTAACTATTGAAATACTTATTAAAAATAAAAAATATATCCTTTTTACATGAAACTAAAAAAGGGGGTAGAGAGTTAGTTAAGAAAAGTAAACAAAATGGTTTAAAAAAATTAAACATTTATTCTGTCTCACCACAAACAGTTACAAAATAGATAATGCAAAAATATTATATTAATAGTCCCAAAATACAAAGAAAAACTTACATGTGTCCTTATTTGTTTACAAACTCTAGGAGTTGGAAATACTACAAAAACTTACAGGAGAAGAAATTTTTACTATAATGTTTTTGTTAATTCTAATTTATTGTTCTTAATTTAATTTATTAAAGGTTCAATATTTATAACACAAACTTAATTTACTCAAAGTTTATTTATAATAATTATTCTTACAATAATTTATTATTACGATGGTACATTTAAATACGCGAGCGCGAATTTATCTTCTTACTAACTGATCCTCTTTACCACAAAATTTCTATTTAAATATAAACTGCCGGTGGCCCAGATTTCGCTCGAGCGGACGACGACCTTCTCGAGTAAAAAGAAAATCCCATGGATGTTGACATGAATCTCGAATGAACTGGAACCTAGACAGGTTGTTTTTATAGCGAAGGGGAACCTATCGTCTGTCAGGTAGGTAATACCTAGAAAAATCGTGAATGAACAGAATATTAGTAATAGATATGTTTACGGTTATTTAATATGACTCATATATTGTTTTACGTAACATTACAAACAAAGAAATATCTTTTAAAAGAAACTATCCCTAGAGGTTAACCTTTTTTAAAAACCAAACAAACTAATATCAAAAAGTAATAAAGCTAAAGTCCATTTCCATCATATTGATAGCACATTATGTATACAAATCCCTAAACTGTTGATACGGGTGACTCAATTAAAAATAAATATTTGTCAACAAGTTTGCAGAAGTATATAGGGAAACAATTTTAAATTGAGTATGATCACCAGGTATAAAGGTTGAAGCAGAATAAAATACAATAGTTTTGAGGGTTACTAATCCCTAAATAAAGTTGCCAGTGTCGGAGTGATGGAGATTAACAGGTACTAATGAATTTGCAAGAAATGTAAGATGTTTATTTTATTGGTTATATATAAAATAATTTGCGGCCGTAACAATGAATATTATTTTAATCAAATTCTATTTCAGATGCACTGCTTTCTTCAGAATCTAAGGAATCTTCAACTCCAATGTTAATTATTAACGGTTCCAGCATTGCATCAGTCATATTATCTAAATTCCACATTTTATTTTCTTCCTTGTGAGCATGACTAACAGCATTTTTCCAATTTTCTGGAGTTACTTTTGATAACGAATGTTCTAATAATTGTTGTCTTCTAATTTAAAAGTTTTGTTGTTGCGTCTGACTTCACTCTTTACTTGAGACCATATATTTTCTATCGGATTCAGATCACAGTGGTATGGAGGTAAACGTAAAATAATTACATCACGGTTTAATGCCATTTCATCAATTATATATTTTTTATAAGCTGCTTTATGTTGCCTTACAATAGGTAATAATTCATTTTTTGTCGAATTCTCCTTGTACTCAATTGCGTGTTTATCCAACCATTCGATTATCTCTCCTTTTTTCCATGCCGTTGTTGGCAATTTTTCTGCTAGTCTTGAATGGTAACTAGCATTATCCATGACTATGACAGGATTTTTTGGAATTAAATCCAACATTTGCTCAAAATATTCTTCAAAAACGTCAGTAGTCATTTCCTCGTGGTAATCTTTGGTTGATTTTGAGGCAAAACTTAATAATCCACCATTGACAAAACCGTATTCGTTTCCAATATGGGTTATTATGAGTCTGCGTCCTTTTCCAACTGGAATATTGTTTATTCCAGTAGATACACCTTCATTTAGCTAACACTTCACTAGCTACACTAGTAGTTTGACCTTCATTTAGCCAAGTCTCGTCCAAATAAAAAATTGTTTTCCCTTCTTCTCGGTACTTTTTATTAGTTCTTAGATAATCTCGTCTCCAACATACAATGTAATCTTTTTCAATTAAAACGGATTTTCTTCTATTCTTTTGCCAACGAAATCCCATGAGTGGACGTCTTATGTTTTTATGTATTTCTTCAATTTCCAAGGGTTTACTCCCTCCACTCTTCTTGGGAGATGAAACAGTTCCTCCTTTTCTTTCTTTTAGGAATCTATAAATTGTTGCTTCTCCAACCCCTGTCATATTTGAACACATGTTAACGATTTCACGAACATTACTTAAAGGGCGGTGATGTACAAGTGCATCGTGTACATTTAATATTATATTTTTCTCTCTTAGACTGAAGGCACCTTTAAAACTACACTTAACCGGGATAAAACCTGTTGTCGACGTAATTTTTAAATGCAAATAACAAAATATCGACACCAAAAACGTAGGTAGGTAAGACATAAACAATGTTCATCTACAAACTAAATGGAAAATTCAAACAATTTCTAATTTATATTATTGGCATAAGCTGTAATGTGGCATAAAAACCACTTACTATCATTCGTGAAGCCTTATCAGTAATTCCAGGTAATCGTTCAAAGAAGGTATTCTTTTTGTGTCAGGCGATAACTTGTATAGAAAACAATAATCACCTTTAAATTACTGTTTACATTAATTTATTTCCTAAAACATTGAATTCTCTCGTTAGTCACCGGTGTATAATTAACAATAATCGTGTGGCATATATACCGACGTTTTTTACGCACAAAAAAGGTGATGACTGTCGATAACATTTGAAAACTTGGTTTGATGTGCTGACATGAGGAGTTACGCGATTACTTCGATATAATGTGTCTTTGACTACACAATATGTACTTCAAAATCACTAAAGCAAAAGATTAGTTTCCTAACTGTTTATGCTAACAATTTTGGTGTTGCTTGAAAGCAACGCTATGCAATATATGGCTAATACGTATTATTTGCGTTACTTCAGCATAAAATATCATTATCAGACAATAAGTATTTTGTAATAAGTTATTCCATCATCACAGTAAGCATCTTTGTAGGCAAAGAGCCGCAGTGTATTTGTAATGAGACATGGAGAAAGAATAGACTTCACGTTTGGCACGTGGACGCCTTATTGCTTTGATGAATCAGGACAGTACACTAGAAAAGATCTCAATATGCCAAAGAAGTTACCTTATAGAAGTGAAGGTGCTACCGGCTATTTAAAAGATTCGCCTGTCACAAACGTTGGAATTTTACAAGCTACATTGGTAAGTAGATATTCTTAAATAATTTTTTTAACAGTTATTATAATCCAGTGGTCCCCAACCTGGGGTGACCGCGTCAACTGTAATTTGGATTATTAGGGGGTATTAAATAAGAGAGATAATTGGGCGGCAATAAGTATTCAAAATTTTGAACATTTGAAGTGATTTTTTTTAATTATTATTTTAATCGGCCTTAGTAAATAAAATTACCTATTTGTTAACTGTATATTTATTTTTCAGTTCAATTTTTTTTCTACCAAACTATGTATGACTGAATAATAACAAGTTCTTTTAAAATCTAGAAAATATACAGTTTGTCCCTTTGAAGCCCGATTTTTATTAAATTAAACAAAACAAGATTTTTGTGAAGGTTATTTATTTTATTATATTTGTAAAATAAATTCAGTCAACATACACAATGCTGATCCTGAAGTATATTCTGCAAGTTTTGATATTCTCAAGATACCAGCATGAACATAGCGTAACAAAAAATTAATTGAGAAGTAAAAACCAGGTAGCTTCTTTCTTGCTATTCTTCCTATTGTTGTGCATGGAAGGTTGCAGAATAATTTTTGTCGTGTTTGGGACAAAGTCCGACAATGCAAGATAAACATTTTGCTGTGTTCTGCTAACATTTGCTGTCGTGCTACACTTGGCACATCTCAGAGAAGTAGTTCTTTGGCGCCGTTCCAAGCGAATGTGCCTTTTGAATTTACTCACTGGTTTTTCTGCTGATGTTCTTCCCCCTTTTAGTTATTCTGGAGCTCCAATAAGGCCTCTAATCACAGAGAGCCGGAATTCTTTCAAAGACATACTTTTGGATTGGCTTCTAAGTTGAAATGGAATGAATGCGTTTACGACGCAAGCATCCACAAAATAAAAAAATATTCTATGCCACCACTCGTGTGATTTACGATTCACCTCATAAAGACTTTTCAGCATGTCAAATTTGTCAGCATAACATCATATTTTGAATATCAAAGACATCCTCATTATTTGGCCTCCGAAATTCATCAATATCCAATTCAACTCCCAAGAAGCTTTCAATATCAGAGACAATTGACTCCTGGTCATTTGGTTTTTTAATCCAATAAGGCGTTAACCTCGTTTTGAGACATATTTTCCAAATGCCTGAATCTCCACTTTTTATTTTGCGTATAGGAAGAATATATATAGGAAGTGCAATGTGGTCGTAAGTGGAAAACTTTTATAGTGAAATCAAAGAACTACTTAAATTGACAAAGAAACATGATGTCAACATAATTATGGGAGATTTTAATTCCAAAATAGGGAAGGGCAGCTTTGAAGACATAGTTGGACCCTATGGTCTTGGAACAAGGAACGAAAGGGGCGACCGACTTATACAATTCTGTCAAGAAGAAAACATGAGAGTTACCAACACATGGTTCCAACTCCACCCCCGTCGCCTATATACTTGGAAATCTCCAGCCGATAGAGCTCATAACATAATAAGAAACCAGATAGACTTCATTCTTATAAACGGTAGATTCAGCACAACTGTCAAAAGAGCTTGCACATACCCTGGAGCAGATGTCCCTTCTGACCACGTACTATTAGTGGCCGTCATAAAGATCGCTCTTTCATGCAAGAACAAGCCTGAAACTCAACAACAGATAGCACTGGATAAACTGAAAGACCCAGTGATACAAGCAAAAATAAGCAATGAAATAAACGCACAAATTCAAATATTAACGACAAACATTACCGAAGATATAACACCAACATGGAATACGATTACAAGTACTGTAACAGACATCATGAAAAACAACTTAGGGTACAAACGAAATAACAAGAAGCAAAAATGGATGACAGAAGAAATACTATTACTAATGGAAGAACGACGAAGACACAAGAATAACCAAGATGGCAGCAATATGTATGAAAACATTAACAGGCAAATAAAAGCAAAAATAAGAATAGCAAAAAATGAATGGCTTAAGCAACAATGTATCGATCTAGAACATTTACAAAGACAACACGACGACCGTAATTTACATAAAAAGCTTAAGGAGACTGCTGGAATATACAGAAAACGAAGACCAACTACCATAGTTAATCAGGATAACCAGATACTGCTGGGTGAAAAGGAGAAAATTGATATATGGGGAAATTATATCCAGGGGCTCTTCCATGACGAAAGACCCATGAGTGAAGTTTATACAGACGACCAGCTGACTGGCCCTTCAATCACCAAAGAGGAGATAGAAAAAGCAATATTAAATTCAAAAAACAATAAGGCACCTGGACCAGATGAGATCCCGTCAGAAATACTCAAATTACTAGATGAAAGGGGAATTTCAGCACTACACAAAATATTCAATTTAATTTATGAAACTGGCTGCTATCCTCAACAGTGGTTACGCTCTACCTTTATTCCCCTGCCCAAGAAAGTCAATGCAAAAAGATGTGAGGATCACAGACTCATTAGCCTGATGAGTCACACTTTAAAGATATTCTTAAAAATACTACATCAAAGATTATACAAAAAATGTGAATGGGACATCAGTGATTCCCAGTTCGGGTTTAGGCAAGGTTTAGGAAGCAATAGTAGCAACACAGGTACTGGTCCAAAATTGTTACGATCAGAGGAAGGATGTGTTCCTATGCTTTTTAGATTACCAAAAAGCATTTGATCGTGTCCAACACCACAAGTTAATGCAGATTCTCAAGAAAGTTGATATAGGCCAAAAAGACATAAGATGCATTGAAAACTTGTACTGGCATCAAACGGCACAGCTAAAAATAGACAATTCTATATCTAAGCCCATACATATAAGAAGAGGCGTTCGACAGGGATGTGTGATTTCCCCTCTTTTATTTAACATTTATTCAGAAGCCATATTTCAAGAGTCTTTGGAGGATGCAGAGATGGGAATCAAGGTGAATGGAGCATTGATCAACAACATACGATATACTGATGATGGTGTCTTAATTTGTGACAACATAGTCGATCTTCAACAACTTGTCACTATAATCGGAGAATACAGTGAGCGAATGGGACTAGAGATTAATACCAAAAAGACCAAATTCATGATCATCTCCAGAAACTTGGATGCATTTGAAAACTCCACCATAACACTGAATAGTAAATCCATAGAAAGAGTGAGTAAATTTAGATACCTGGGATCGTGGCTTTTTGAAGACTGGGCATCGGACAGGGAAGTAAAATGTCGCATTGAGCAAGCTCGACAAGCTTTCGTAAAATTCAAGAAGGTACTGACTTGTTCTGAGTTCGATCTTCAACTGACTCTAAGGTTTACTAAGTGCTACGTATGGTCAGTGCTGCTATATGGCGTAGAGGGCTGGACACTCAAAACGAGGGATATAAACAGATTGGAAGCTTTCGAAATGTGGCTTTATCGCCGTATCCTAAAAATACCATGGACAGCGAAAATCACAAATATAGATGTCCTTAAAAGAATAAACCAAGAACGCCAACTTTTCGAAACCATCAAGAAAAGGAAAACGGCGTATCTAGGTCACATCATGCGAAATGAAAAATACCAGTTCCTTCAACTTATAATCGAGGGTAAAATTGAAGGCAAGAGAGGAATGGGACGCAAGAAAATGTCCTGGCTCCGAAACATAAGGCAATGGACAGGGATTAACGACATACAATCTCTGATACATATTGCAAGAAATAGAGAGTTAATGGAAAATGTGATCGCTAACATCCATTAGTGGATTTGCATCTGAAGAAGAAGAAGAATGTGGTCGTGCCAGAATACCAGATAAAAAACAGTGATCTACAAAGACAATTGAAATGTATTTATGCAAATAATAGTACTTGTGTGCTTGACTAATATTGATATCCAGTCAACGTGATTCAATCAAATTGGTTCTAAACTGGTTAGACACTTAATAAGCAAACAATTTTACACACTGGTAAGAACCATTAGAAAGTTCAAAAGAATTGTTTGAAAGGTGGTCTTCTGAGCATACCGACAGTCGTCAAAGGGTTAAATAAGTTGAGGGCATTTCCTGTGAAACCGGAAGTAGAGTAGTAACAAAAAATATAGCATCAGATGCGTTATATGACATTGTAATGGCATACAAAGTTTCATGGATATCGTGTATTTCGTTTCAAAGATACTTACTTTATCCCAACTCTGATTATGTGTAAATAACGACGAAATAAGCTTATCTTCATATTTGATTCTTCTTTATCATCAGCTAACTACTTTTCAGATTGGCGAATCATTTAAAGAGAACAATGTAGAAATAGAATACGCCTACAGTTCGCCGTCGTTTCGCTGCATCCAAACCTGTGACGGTTTCCTTAGAGGCCTGGGTAAGAGGGATCAAATCAAGATCCGTATCGAGCCTGGTCTGTTCGAGTGGACGGTGTGGTATAGCGAAGGAGTTCCGAATTGGATGACGAAGGAGGAACTGATCCAAGGTGGTTACAACATCGATGAAACGTACAAGCCGTTTGTCGAAGAGAAGGAGCTCAAAGAGTCGAAAGAAAACTGCGAACAGTTCCATTTGAGAAGTGCCTTCATTACAAGAAGTGAGTATTTTATACCTTAAGTCATGTATATTTCAAGTTAACCTATCTTTTTTTGTTTATGCCCTTGGCGTTGCCAATTGATCGGACTATTTTATAAGTTGTATTCACAGATCTAAAATCAAAATTAGGTTAGAATAGACGTGTTAGGTGGTCCGATACTGATTACTATTACCACAGGGCCGAGATAATCAACCAAAAAAGAAGATGTATTTGGTTACTTTTAGTAACTTTCTTGGGTGTGAATCTGTCTTTTTAGTTTACTCCTCCTGATTAAAAAACAAACCATAGTATAACATCAGGACTCAGACAAGGAGAACTCTTGTCATCGTTATTGTTTAATTTTGCCCTGACACATACAATAAGTTAGACATCGTCGAAGCTGATACAGGCTTTCGCTAATCAGTAATGACAAATACAATGGCTCATTCAAGGGACGTGCTAGAGGTGTTTTCACAACTTGAGGAGGAAGGAAGTAATTAGGGTCTCCGAATAAATGAAGAAAATACGCAATACAATACGAAGTTATTGGCAGAACATAGCTTTTAATGATCACAAGTTCGAAGTAGTAAAGGAGCTTAATTATCTGAAGTCGGTAATCACAGATGGCAACCAAATAGAAAAAGAGATCTCAGCAAGATTAATTGCTAGGAGTAGAGCATTATACTCTCTTTAAAATCGAGATCTACGCTGTTAAAAACGTTAACACTGGTATGTTAAAAATGTTGCTGCGGACATTGATTTTTGATATTTCTAAGACTGGATCGAAGTATTAAGTAGCTGATCCTCTTTTAGTGAGTTCATCGGCTCTTAGTAGGCTCATAGATGTCACGAATGAACTCCCACTGCTTTATCTTAGGCTGTGAATCACCAGAGTTTTATCTTTGTTAATATTATACGTTTCTAGCTTTTTATATATGCTAGGTTAAAGATTGTTTTAACTTTATATTAAAAATCAAAATGTTTTAGGTGCACTATCCGCTCATTCAACGGGCAATTTCCTCCTCGTAGGACACTCAGCTACTCTAGACACCTGTTCGCACGAATTAGTAGGCAACAAATCAAAATCTGCAAGTGATATGATCAAACTGATCCAGAAGATACCGTACTGTGGACTCATCGAAATCACGAATAATAGCGGTGAGTGGAAAATCGTCGAACCACCTTGCCAGCCCATAACTCATTCAAATAACCAACGGTTCGACTATAAATTATTTTTAGAGTAATTGTTTGTGTTGTGTTTTTAATGTTTTATCAAAATTAGCGTTATTGCTAAGAGGTATTCGCATAACAAATTTTCAACTGTAAGCAGAACAGTCTAAAGATGAAGTAAAACCAGAGAACTACGAACGCAGAGAAGCGACACTCCTTTGATCTTGCGTGGGCAAGCCGCGAACGAGTGAAAATGACAGGAAAGCAACCTATTTACTAATAGTCAGTGGGCATATCACACAATATAAATTCTTAAATAAAATTGAGCATTTATGTTGACTTTCAATAAATATGAAATATTGCACTGAAAAAATAATTACATGCAGGGCCGGCTTTTGTTGACATTCTAAATGGTGTAATTATTTTTGATTTACAAAAGGTTGCAAATACATCGCACAACGCAAAGTAATGGTGAAAATCGTATTGATGGAACCATAGATGAAAATACTTTTTTGTTTATTCTGATGTTGGCATTGATAATACAATAATACACCGATTCTTTTTGGCTTGTGTTGATACAAGATATAATTTGTTCGTCGTGGAATTTCCTAATGAATTATCTTTCGTAATATAATTGAAAATTAACAAAGCCATTGTAACTGCCACGGAAATTTCACAAACTCTAAAAATTTCAATTCTCTTTGGGTGAGACTGAGAAACAAGAAACTTTATATTGATATCGATTGTTAATGTCTTGGAAACCTATTAAAATTACATTTTTCCTTTAAAGTCGAATATTGGAGTAAACGATATTCGACTAAAACGAATAAAAAATCAAGAAGTAACTATTGTACGAGTATATTTCTATAAATATAAAAATGTAATAACCTAAAAAATAATCAAAAAAGTATTACGAATCATTACAAGAGAGCATTAGGAAGATAAAACGAATTTATATTATTGTCATTACACATGATTCGGATATACATGGTAAATCCAGACTTTCAGTTTAAACTAATACTTCGATACAATTTATTTTGTTTACAATAGATTCAGAGTTAATATATACGATTTTTAGTTGATTGGTATTGCCTTTAAAATTATTTGTAGTATCTAGTTTGCCTAAGCCGGATTTGTAACAATTATTTCTGGTTTTGTTGTTAACTGCGGTTAGTACAATTCTTATACTTGAAGTCAAAACGACGAACCATTGAACCTTCAGGCCAGATACTGGGATTGACAACTTCATTTTTATAATCCAATGGATACGAAACTTTAAAGCTTGCTTGGTACTCCGTAACCTTTAACTTCTTGAAGTAGAAATGTATATTTGGAGCATTTACCTTTAAATTATTGGTCAAATCTTCCGTTGTCTGTTGTGGAATTATATTATGGTGTAAATAAATAATGATTGATTGGAGTAAGATTTATGTCTATTTACTCTTAATATTGGCTATGAGCATATGTGCTTGGTTGTAAATATAGTAATTGTCATCTAGTTCTAGTCTGTTAAAATGTAACTAACTTTCGCAATAAAATAATTACTAAAATACTAGATAGTTGTGTCTGAGATTAGCGAATTGACTATACATACACTACATACATTCAGTATCATTGTATATCCAAGATGGACGCCGCTACACAATAGCGGATTACTTATTTTTTCACAACTACTTCAATGTGGGTATCAAATGAAAGGGCTTGACTAGTAGAAAAGAGTTCATTATAGAAAATCCAGAATGGCCGCCAACAAAATGGTGGATTACATATTTTCGTTGGGCGTACTATTGTACGCCAATGATTTTTGTATTTTTATTGACTTCCGAAAGGCATTTGATCGTATTAAGTACTCTATATCGATTGAAGTTCTAAGAAACATTGGTTTGGATGGCAGAGACGTTCGCATAATTGCAAAGTTATATTGGAATGAAACATAAGTTTTAGTAGACGGTTTGGAATCCCATCGCCGTTTACTCCAAAAGAACGTTCAGAAATGCACTTTCTGAAAAACAAGAAGGAATAATTATGAACAGTGATTTCATAAATAATTTGCGATATACGGACGATACATGTACGGACGATAAATATTGAGATATACAATAAATAAAGTTTTAATATTTTTTATTTGTAATTCCCATTTAAATATTTATTCCCTAAATATGTTGTGTACTCCGATCCATATATTTGATCTTTGTTATTTATATTTAACGAATTAAACATTGACAGACAACTTTTGTATATAGCAAAAAGTAGATGAGCATTTAGTTTTTTCATAATTTAATGTAAGTTTGTTTGGTGAAAAAGACAGCAAATATTTGAAGTTATGTTAATGTAAGTTTGTTTATTTGCAATCATGTTTTTATTTTGAAGTCTTGTTCTGTTGTAATTTTAAGATTTTCCCAATTTTCGATCTAATTATGTTTCCAACAATTTTTAGTTTGAGCATTTTAGGAATTTCTTTGTTTCGTTTAAATCAAATATTCTCGTATACTATATTCGTATTGTTGTCTGCGAGCGCTTTCACACCAGTAGGCCAACATCTGTTGATTTTTTGACCTGAGCCTTCGGAGACAATAAATTTAATGTGTGTTCGTAGTTCTCTGGTTTTTATTCTGAACTATCCCTTGGTAGACCAAAATTTATTTTTTTATTGCTCCACTTAACGAGAGCTCGGGCGGACACGTCGGTATCGGCTTACTGATCGAAAGTCAAATTAATACTATTATGTAATAACTAATAATAATTACAAAGCAATAGTAATTACCTGTTATTATTCTTAGGAAATCTAAATAAACTTATTCCTTTTCCTGTCACAGATGAACATCCGCGAAATGCACAACAATAACCAGAAAACATTTTAAATACTTATAAATTAAACTTTTAACTATAAACTATAACTATAAACTTATATATTTAACTTATATATTTTAACTATAAACTATAACTATAAACTTTTAACTACTAAGTAAATTAGATAAATGGTCAAATGCACTTGTATAGTCGAGAGTTTACCACAGATGCTTACGGACTATCGTACGCAACGAAAGTTGAAGAAAACGCACGTGTGTTTGACAGTAAAGCACCCTATTTGGGTCATGCGTATACAGAAAAGATACACGGATTTTGGGCCTCGTGTCGCTTCTCTGTGTTCGTAGTTCTCTGGTAAAACATAGTTGCAGACTTAGTACTAGTGTATGTAAATACCAAAAATTTTTGATAGTTACAATAAATACAACACCTCATTTTTCTATTTAGTTGTAGACACAATTTGAACGGCAATTTCTGACAATAACATTATGTCCCCATTATATATATAGCCGATTCACTAGTAAAACTTTTTTACATACACTGATTATTTGTTTAAAGTTGCAAATCTGTTGTGTGAATATCATGTAGTTGTGAATTTGTAAAAGATTAAGTATTTTAAGTTGCTACAAAAATATAAAATCTACTTTATTTTTAATCTACTTTATCAAAGTTTCTCACACACACGAGTAAGACTTAGACAATTATTTTCCACTACTGTATCAAAAGTGATCCAAGATATTGGAATATTGGTCTGGGAAAGTGTTCAATAACAATTGAAATAGATTTTTTCTTCCAACAATATCCCAATCATATTTAGGAAACGTCAATTGTGATGGCACGTGGTCGGGCTTATAGGATAGGTTAACTGTGGAGAGTGGAGGTTAGTTTATAATGAAACAAGTTATATCTATCGTGTCTAGATTCAGAATGATTTTATTTCCTCTTCCTTGCACCTGTCCGTCACGTCACTCTTACAATGATACCAACCTGAGTGAGTTCCGAATATTTATTTACATACATCACATCCCCCTCTTTTTAAAATGACCAAGTAAAAATAAATTTCTTTAACAAATCTTTAAATAAACATTTATGAATTTCGTCAATTGTTTCATACCCCCTTTATTTTATAATAAAATACTTATAAATCTAATCTATCAGGTTTTTTAACAATTCGACCTGAAGAGGTTTGTGGAGGTAAGTTTATTGGAGAGCGATGATCAGAATCATCATCAGAGATACTTTCAAGATTTTGTGACTAGTTTCAGATTCGTTATCCGTATGTTCATCATCAGAGTAATAATTTTTAAATATAACTTCTCTAGAATTCAAATTATTTTCAATTTTTTCTATTGTATTGACTCTTTTTAATACATTCAAAGCTTTACATGTAGGTAGACCTAATACATGTTGTCTTTCGTTTCTTTCTTTGTTAACTCTGCATCTAAATTTGGTTTGGAGTAAAAGATGGTCTAATCTGTAGCATGTTCCTTGTCGTGTTCTCACATCTGAGATACTACTGGCTGCCCTTTTGTCTATGAGCACATGATGGATTTGATTAAACCAATGTATCCCTAGGGGCAATTCTTCGAGCAGATATTGAGCTGAAGTAAAGTTACGCAAATAAAGATAGAGTGGCACAAAAACTCATCTATTACTCACTATATCAAATTAAATATGTTCAAATTAAATATCAATAATTATAAATTAAAAATTTTATCATAAACATCACAATATCAAATTAGAACCGGACCAACCGCTTAATCAAACCTCAAAGTTAATTAAGGGCTAAAAAAATTTGAATTCATGTCCAGATTTCACAAAAGAAATTTAGGACAAAAAACTAGTGGACAGAAGATGTTGAATAAATGAATTAAATGTTTTGTTTTAATAAATTTCTTCCTACCAATGCTTTGATAAATTAGCAACTTTTACTGATTTTGTCAATATTGTTTTGAAAATATTTTAATCTTTTGCAAAATCATTTATAAATATATCATTGCCCAGAAGTAATAGCGTCCTTCTGAATGCTAGATAAGAATGAATTATTTTTTATAAAATTTTATTTAAAAAAATTGGGAATATGATATAGACTAGAAGATAAAAATCTTTGCTGTTTCTTGCTTAATTCAGAGGGTTGCTGTGATGTAATTCGCATTTAAAAATGTATTGTTTAATATTTATGATATTAAATTATGATTACTATAAATATTTGTTGTAAAGAATGGAAATATGGTAGAGGGTATTATAGGTATCATAGTTACCTTGA